GGATATAGCTCGCTAGCAGCCACGTGTCGATGACCTAGTTGATGTCATCAATTTCCCAGAATGCTTTGCATATAAATAAAATGACTCCGTCCGTGTTAAAATATATTTTAAAACTTTTAGTTTAAAATTTTACAAAACTAAACATCCTACAGTATTTTTACAGTCTTTATTTCGCAGTTAAAGTATATGTTTATCATATAAAGTCTAATGTTACAACTAATCGTGGATCCTTTAAAATAAATGGCCAACGTGGTGGCAAAACAGAAAAACTTAGAAGCTGATGAAGGGAAGCCAGGATGGACACCAAACAATGAACGGATGAAGGTAGAGAGAACATGAGCCAGGATATGTAGTCAGAGGATAAGTGGAGACAGGTGTGAGAAGAATGACCTAGAACATGATGGCATGAAAGACACAAAACAAACATCAGAGGGAGGCAAAGCACAACACAACGTAAAGCACAMATAAAACACCAATCCTCACACCTGGAGTAATATTTGATTTTTTTGTGTGTGGGATGAATATTTGATAATAAAATTTGATAAGATTGCAGTTTTTAATTCATTATTTCTCGTTTTGACAACGTTTTTGAGGTATTCTCAGTACTGAGATTTTTTTTCCTTCTGTACATATGTTGGCACGTATCCCTTTCCATAATTTTTGTGCTATTTCAACAACACATATCAAAACGTTCAGCTCCAGGACACTCCGGCTATGAATTTTGTTTTTTCTCCAATTAATACTTTTCAAGAAATTTAGCTTTTTCTGCCATTTTTTCTCATTAAATATGAACGGAGCTGTCTTCAACATCCTTAAAACCCTCCAAAATGTTCATAAATCTTTACAGTACTTTTTAGCTTTTGTTCTGGTTCTTTTTTATTATTATTTGTGCTAATTTTAGCTTACTTAAGCTGCTATTTTGTGATTTGATCCTGGTTTTCTGCCTTTTTCATATCTGCTATTCTTCTGCTAATTTAAATTTTTCTGTGCTTCYTTCAGCTGCTTTCTGCTAATTTCAGTGGCTTTTTGTTTGTTTTAGCTTTTCTAGCCAATTTGAGCTTTTTTTAGCTAAATATGTTTTAGTAATAATTTCAGCAAACATTTAAACTTTTTGGCTTATTTTTAGCTATTTTAGAATAGAATAGAATAGAATAGAATAGAATAGAA